TTGTTTGAGAATGTTGTTCTCGAAATTTTGAGTTTAACTTCTGGATCAGGTACTTTATCAGCATTACGCGAGTCATACGAGAGGGACTGATCTAGACAGGACTCAGTTCAGAGAAAGGCATAACTATTTCTAGAATAGAGAGGAGGAATTAAGTGGCCATTGCTAGTTTAAATTATAATTTGAATTACATATTTTTTATCTCACATATATCAATAATTTTTAATACATATATATCTATATTCGCTTCTTTATATTTTGTTATCCATTTGCTATTGAGGAATTCTTAGCCCTTAATTTGTAACTTTTATTCCTAAATAAACATTACGATTATTTTGCGTATCTGAGTTTTGATACTTAACACTGTTCCTTTGCTTCTAATCTAAAATGCTTTATTGCATTCGGAGAAAATAATTGTTCTCACTAGTCGCATTAAAATATAGTTGTAATATATTATTCACTGGTTGAACATGCGTAGCAAGTCTCGTACGCAGGAAGTCAACAAAAAAAAAACAAAAAAAAAAATCTGAAATGTTTCAGATTTTAAATTACGTCCAAAGGGGCGTTTTTTAACATTTTGTGTGTTACCTTTCTTTATTAAATATCATGTTCCTCGCACTTAAACCATAAGATCCAGGCAACAGCAATATCGCAAAATAGTTTTAAAACGAGCATATCTTTAGAATTTCCGATACAGAGACTCACGCGCTGGAGATAAAAATGTTTTTTCTGCACAACGTTGCCATTGCTCGCTTTGAAATCCTTGAGTTTGTTAATCAAAAATTCGTCAAAGTTTTAAAAAATAGGAAATCGATCATAAAACAAATTTCAAATTTCAAATTGGGTCTTCCACATGCTCATATTCGTTGGAGGATTACGTTATTCAAAATTCGATGACTCTATGTACCGTATTATTTTATGACAATGTGAGAAATATACATACATTTACGCAGATTTTCATTATTTAATTTCTTCAAATATAATGCAGGACTCTAACATTTTATGGCAACAGTTTGAAAAGTGAACTGACATTTATCCGTCCGACGCAAAATGCCAAAACGAAACTAATAGTCCTTCGGGATTCAAATCCCTTTGGACTAAAAAAAACTACATAATCGCAGATACTTTTCGTAACAGGATGGTAAATATTTCATCATTTTTCAAACTATGAAATGCCTTTAGGGGTCAGTTTTTATTTTTAAAAAATGCGTATTTCTTAATACGAGTGAGAAATCTTCCGATGGCAACAAGTTTTCCTTCGTTTAGGATAGTAATTTTTTTATCGAATGATGGCAAAACCATTGAAGAAGAAAAAGAATGGATAAGTCTAACGTTTCGCCTTTAGATAAAATATGTGATATTTAAAAAGGAATCTGAATAAGAATATCAAAATGCACTTCTCAATATTCAATTATATATACTGTAGAGTATACTGTACGGGTCACGACCTTAAATGATGTCGCAAAATTGGGGTCACGGAAATTCAATGCGATAGTTGAATTTAAAAAAAAACTGCATTCATAAGACTTTCAAAGAAATTGCATTAATTGACATTGATGGGATTAGACTTATAAAGACATTACAGTTATAAGGTATTTCTCCCACCTTCTTGGCATGCCTTTGTGGTGTGGTGGTCTGCACTCTGGGCGGGTATTCCAGAGGTCCGTGGTTCGATCCCCGGCGAAAGCGTTGCTTATTTTGCATCTTCCCGGCCTCGAAATAAAATAATTTCTCTATACAGTAATTGATATTAATGAGATTAATTACCTGTTATATAAAGGGCAAAAGTAATTTGTAAAAATATCTAGCGATTCAAACCTAAAACTTGAGTTTTGACAAAAATCCTTGAAGAATTCTGGATTGGAGTTAGAACTACACATCTCATTATTTCTTAAATGGCATCAAATATTCAACACTATATATTTTTATAAAACTCCTTTTTCAGCTTCAACTCTCATTAAAACCAAATTTCGTTCAACGTTGAAACATGTTGAAGATGCTTTATGTCCATCAGTGTCAAATATCGCACTCAAATTTAATTTGTTACGCAGCAGAAAACAAACACGTCTGTCTCATTAGAATTTTCTTTAATTTTTGCTAGCTTAATATAAATCCTAAAACTATTTTTATATGTATATTGTTTACCAAAGAAGTAAATTATTTACGGTACGATATTTATTTAATATCTGTGGTCACGATAAAAATCTCAGTGATGGGCTGCGTTTGAAAAATGCCCTGAATTAATAATTAATTAAGATGCCCTGAATTAGATAATTGATTACTATTTAACATGACCGGAAGTTATGAACTGCTCATACTAGATTACGTTATATTCAAAAAACGTTAAATAACAAAAAATATGCTATCATATTGTAGAGACATTCGGTTAATTGGAAGCAGGCAAGATGAAAAATGAGCAATCGCCTTCGCCGGGAATCGAACCACGTACCTCTGAAATACCGGCTCAGAGTGCAGAACCATTACACCACGAAGGCACGCTAGGAAGGCGAGAGAAATACCTTATAATATTTTAAATTAACCTTTCCGCAAGAGTGACACCTATCAAAAACAAAATATATACATAAATAAATCCATTTCTTAATATTTTTTGAAAACGCTGTTCTGGCTCGCAAACTGTCACATTTTGAAGATCAAACTGCTTTTACAGTTATTGTTACAGTTTTTCCGGACGAGGAAAAAGATTTCTAATCCTTCACAATGAGCTCCGACAGGCCGTTTAAGTCTCGTTTCTTTAAATGCACGCAACCCGTTGCTGGAGAATAACATCCCCACACGCTTAGCATTTTTTTCTTTACACGATCATGCTCTGCGGGATTGGGTGACATTTACCTTGATTCTCGTTCAACTGAGTTTTCGCTTCCTTTTTTATTCTTCCCTTCGTATTCTCTGAAGCGTATAAACAGACACCCTGTTTTCATAGTGGCGCTTGTATTACGTGATCGTCAATGACACAGATTCTTTCTATCTCGAACAATGGATTTTGACAGAATTTTTACATTATTTTTAACCCAAAAGGGCAGTTTGCTCAGAAGGACTATTAATTTCGTTTCGCCATTTTTCATCGGTTCACTATAAATGTTGGGTCACTTTTCAAATTGTTGCCACCAATTATTACCGCCTTGCATTATATTTAAGCATATTAAATAACGAAGAATTTGCATGAATGTATGTGTATTTCTTAGATTCTGAAAAAGCAGCGAGATTCTTAGAGACATCCAATTCTGAATAGCATAGCCCTCTATTCGAATATGGGCAACTGGAAGCCTAAATTTGGAATTTGGGATTTTTTTATTATCTATTTCATATTTTGTCAAATTATTTTGTAATGATCGTTTTTGCGAGTTTATATAATTAATATCTCTGATTTCAGATATTTTTTTGGGGGGGAATAAGGGTCAAACTTTTCTAGGACCCAGAAAAGAATTGTAGAAATTTTGATGATGATAGCTATAGTAGTGACTAAGTTAATCGCGAACAAACACACAAACAGACATTCTTTATTATATATGTAGATTATGTCTTATTCAGCGGTTGTCCTTAAAAGTGTTGAAAATTTAAAGAATTAATTGTTTATATAATTTTTATTTATTTTTCCAAAGCAAAAAAGTTATTATTTTTAAAAGCTTCGTATGTTGTGTACCGAAAACATGCTTTATTTTGCTAACAATTCTTTTTCTTTCTTATAACCAGATGTATAAAAAGATGAACTTCATTGTTCGGAAATGCTGCGAACAAAAATTATATAATCTTGAAAATTATTTCGAAAGCTCTAGACACAATTTCTTTTTTGGAAAAAAAAATAGCTTCTTGGTATTTGTTAAAAGCGAATTTTGTCTATTTCTGAAGCAAAATGCTTTTTTTAAGCAAATTATTCAAATCTATTCTATTTCAAGTATTTTCTATAATCAAGCATTTTCTAGCTATCTTAACTATGTCATTAATCAATATAGCATCTGCAAAATTTATATACTCTTCAGTTTTTAATAACTGTTAAAAATATTTCTGGTATTATTTAACCAATCCAGTGATGATACAACATATTTGTACAGGAATATAAATTAAATTGGATTGGATTATTCCACTACGATAAAACACACTAGAGCAATCCACCTATGTAAATTATAAATTGTAATTTTTGTTTATTGCTCTATGTAAATAAAATAAGCTTAAATTTGTCACCGAAACCATTGTAGCCGTAAAATAAAATTCCTTTAATTACAAAAAAAAAAAAAAAAAAAAAAATCTGAAATGTTTCAGATTTTAAATTACGTCCAAAGGGGCGTTTTTTAACATTTTGTGTGTTACCTTTCTTTATTAAATATCATGTTCCTCGCACTTAAACCATAAGATCCAGTGCAACAGCAATATCGCAAAATAGTTTTAAAACGAGCATATCTTTAGAATTTCCGATACAGAGACTCACGCGCTGGAGATAAAAAAATGTTTTTTTCTGCACAACGTTGCCATTGCTCGCTTTGAAATCCTTGAGTTTGTTAATCAAAAATTCGTCAAAGTTTTAAAAAATAGGAAATCGATCATAAAACAAATTTCAAATTTCAAATTTGGTCTTCCACATGCTCATATTCGTTGGAGGATTACGTTATTCAAAATTCGATGACTCTATGTACCGTTATTTTATGACAATGTGAGAAATATACATACATTTACGCAGATTTTCATTATTTAATTTCTTCAAATATAATGCAGGACTCTAACATTTTATGGCAACAGTTTGAAAAGTGAACCGACATTTATCCGTCCGACGCAAAATGCCAAAACGAAACTAATAGTCCTTCGGGATTCAAATCCCTTTGGACTAAAAAAAAAAAAAAAAAAAACTGAAAAATTTTTTTGTTAATCAACATTCCTTACAAAAGTTCAGCTATGTGTTTGCCCACTTCCGAGCAGTTTTTAATGAATTATATGCTATAATAATTATTTTAATAAGTTCAGTGTATTTATTATTTTTTTTATCTTTACAGTTATGGCAGGACCTTCTGCTTTGCGAAACAAGACAAACTCTACCTCGGTAAGTTTCAGTTTTAATAAGCTTTATCTTTGATTTCTGGTAAAGTTTTTAATAATGAGCATGTTTAATGTTATATCTATGATGTTCCCTAGATCACACTTAATATTTCTATGAAATAAAGATATCAAACTTAAATGTGGGAGTTTTAATCGAAGCATATCTCTTTTTCATTTGATTGTGAGTCACGAGATCCCGCGATATTTTATATAGAAACTGAAGCATCGATTCAGTTGATTTGCATTTTAGTGCCAATCGCATTTACTCACTTTGTCGCAGTGTGATAATTTTCAAAATATTTCAAGCTTTCATTATTATATGAAAATTAGACCAACAAGTAAACGTAGAGTTTCGTCTAAGCTTTCCTCAAGATGTTTATTGTCTAAGTCTTCAAAGACTCGAGCTGTTAGTTAATTTGTTTTGTTCAATTTCTTCATCGCGAATAAATTCGACTCTTTTAAAAATATTATAGCATTTCTACGAATGTTTTGCATTTTCTGTATATTCTTTAAGCTTTTTCACCAAATTAATATTGAAATTATTATGTAATTACTGCGACTGAATTCCCTATACCGATAATGTTAAATTGGTCATTTTCGATGTACATTTTCTCAAAATCTGCTGCCGATAGTCGTTTGGAATTTTTCCCCCTTAATTTATCACAAAAGCTCATTTCAGTAAATGTTAGGAAATGTAATAAATAAGTAATAAAAAATGTACATACATGTGAGCAGTAGTTCCTGAGGAAAGGTACATCGAACATAAAAAAAATCCCATTTGGAGAAAAATGAATTTGTTTGTAAAAATCCTCATTTATCAAAGCATTCGATGATAAATTAAAACTAGATTTTTTACAGTTCTAATTGTGCTAGAGATTAAAGAATGATATTTTTAGAAAGATAAAAGTGTAGAGAATTTGAAAATGCAAAAATTTCAAATCACCATTTTTGGAAGATTTTTGGCTTCCAAAATGCTTGAGTAAAAGTTTAAGTTCGCGTTTAATAATGCTTGAGTAAAGTTTAAATTCTTAGGTAAAAGTTTAAAGTTCGCGCTAAAGGCATATCGAAATTTGAGACACGCTAAAAGACAGATGAATCCGCGGTTTCTTTTATAATATTTTCCATGACAACCTGATTTGTTTACTGTTATTGTTGAAAGTACTGCGATTGCGATTAGTTTGACTTGAACTACACGAAAAACAACGATGATTTGTACTGAAATGAATCCAAATTTCTTTCATTTGTTAAATAATTTGAGAGCTATACCACGAATAAATATTTAAATCGCAAAAGGTATAACAATGTTTCTGATTATGTTGCATAATGTCATTTTAGACTATTTTGATAGACGCAAATGTCATTTTAGATTACTAAATTTGTTGTTAGTCATAACTTGTCCGTCTAACGCTCATAACCATTATATTTCAGTCACAGTTACACGGATAGCATTAGTATTTTTTTCATTATCCGGGTAAACCAAAAGAAAAATCTGTATATTATTAATTTCTTACCTAATATAGCATCCGTAGAAATTACATTAAACGTGCCATTAGACTGTAAAAACATTTTTTCTTATGAAAACAACATTGATTAAAAATTCCCACTTTTATAAATTAACAGATATTGAGAGCTTATGGTAATTTGTTTTTTGTACTAAAGAAGAAGAATTCAAAAACTAGCAATATATATGTGATTATTCCATTTATTTCCATTCAGTGATTATTCCATTTAATACCCTCTCATACGGTGACTCGCGATATTATCTGTCGTTCGAAACCTCTATTGAAATATTTTCGCATGAAAGAACATAACCATTTTACAGCCTGCAAAATAAACAAATAGCATGGGAAAAAAAACCAAACTCTCAAAACATGGCCTCTAACTTGAATGAGCCAGAACGGCTGACTGCATTTTCGGCCCATAAATAAGAGGAAATGACAAAAGTGCAATTACCTTCAATGCAGAAAAAAAATTTCATCGTTTGGGGAAATTTCGAGCTGACCTCTCGCAAAGGCTAAATCTCCATAATATTCATTTTTAAAATGTTCTATGGGAGAAATAAAGGATATAGTTTCCTTCACAGAATATTTCCTAATCTTATATCCTAATATCAATCATATAACCTAATGCCATATTCTAATTCTAGTCCTACATCCTAGACCTAACCCTTATTACTTAATCCTTTAAACATATTACCTAATCTATATATATAAAGAAGAATGTCTGTTTGTGTGTGGGTGTTTGTTCGCGATTAACTCGGTCAGTACTATAGCTTTCGTCACCAAACTTTCTACAATTCTTTTCTAGCTCCTGGGAAAGTTTGACGTCTAATTTAAAAAAACAAATATGAAAGGTTTCAGATTTTAAATTACGTCCAAAAGGCCGTTTCTTTAACGTTTTGTGTGTTACCTTTATTTATTAAATATCATGTTCTTTCCACTTAAACCATAAAATTCAGTTCAATAGCAACGTCGCAAAATAATTTTAAAATGAGCCTACCTTTAGAATTTCCGATACACAGTTACGCGCGCTGGAAATAAAAACGTTTCCCCCCCCCCGTAAAGTGTTGCCATTAGTCGCTTTTAAATCGTTCAGTTTGTCACTTAAAAAGCCTTTAAAGTTTTACAAAATATGAAATCGATAATAAAACAAATTCCAAATTTCAAATTTGGCCTTCATTCAAAATTCGATGGCTCTATGTACCGCTGTTTTATCACAATGCGAGAAATATACATACATTTATGCAGATTTTTCATAATTTAATTTCTTTAAATATAATGCACTACTAACATTTGGTTACAACAGTTTGAAAAGTGATTCGCCGGTTATCGTGATTCAACGCAAAATCGCAAAACGAAAACAGTAGTCCTTTAGAGGAAAAAAAAAAAAAAAGAAAGAAAGAAAGATATTAAATAAGAACACTGAACACTGAAAACGCTAAAAACCCCTCATTTTTTAGAGTGGCAACAGTATCGCACAGTGGGTATAAAAATGCTTTATTTCGAAAATTGTTGCTATTCCTCCCTTTTAAATCGTTGAGTTTGTTAATCAAAAACTTGCAAGTTTTACCAAATCTATATATCTAAAGAAGCATGTCTGCGTGTTTGTGTTATGGATTTATGATCCATTTGTGCCACATTTAACCGACTAAAATTGAATATAGCTGAAATATTGGATGGAAGTTCAGCTTTTACGGCCATTTGATTAGAAAGGCCAAAATCATTAAAAAATGCGTGCCATTGTTGCTAATATAATGAGAGATAAATAGCTTATTTTTTTATGTGGGTTCTATATCGCATCAGACTGAAACATTTATCACTATGAATCGTATTTTTTGCATCGGTATTAGAGAAGGATTATAGCGGTAGGTATCGTTCTCTCTCTTGTTAGATACATTACTCTAAATCTAACTTACTAGTATTTCCGCTAGTATTGTCCTAAATTAAGATTTAGGCATAAAATATTCTTTTCTTTAAAGAATTCCCCTTTAAATAAATACTAATTTGTATGTGAAATACGAGATATGTATGCTTCCCCTTTAGAGAAAATATTATTTTGTATGTGAGATATGTGATGGAAAATCTAATTATCAAGTATGCCGTTAATGATATTTCATGTAGGCCTAATAGTTAAATTCGAGTTAACAACCAGAAAGTGGCTGTTTCGAGAGTACGTTTTGTATTTAATATGTTAATTTAAAATAATTAAGTAATAAAATTAGAACCGAGGGTAATACTTTGCGGGATCTTCTGCGGTTACGTGAAATAACGAACTCTCTGCATAACAAAACAATCATGAAGCGTAAATCATTTCCCATGGGTACAAACAAGAGCCAATTTCCGTCAGAAAGTCCTCCACTAAGGCATCCCTTTATAGCGGCTATCATCTGCTGCCCCTTTATCAATTCACCAACAAACCAATAATTTTACATTCACATAAAATATTCTTGCAGTAAGACGCTACACAAAATGTCTAATAATAAATGTTCCTTTCGGTTATAGTGCGTGTTCGCTGTATCTGTGACGCGCGTCTCAGAACCTGATAATTTCACCTAACTCTCAAAGGATGATGCAATAACGTCAAAATATCGCATTAGTCACATACACATCCATTTCATAAGTAGTGAAACATTAATCCGATTACTCATTCTTCTGACTAGCCGGACAATAATAAAAGATTTTCGATTGTAATTTTATTTATCCGTTACCTACCTAATAACCTCATCGATACGTAGTTAAGGAGATATTCTCTTATACTCGAGTTTCGGATGTCTGGAGCTACGAACACTCAAATCGGGCTTTTGAAAGGTATCTTCAGGTAACTTAACAGATTTCTGGAAACATCATTTCAATATTCCATTCCTTATCTCATTAATCCATTCCTTATCTCATTAACCGTAAACTGGGCCAGAATCAGTAACTTTGAACCATTTGAAATTTACTTCTTTTGTTATCCTTGGATACTGAGTTTCTACGCAAAACCGTGAGTTAGGAAACTGTCATAAAAATGAGTTGAAAGAATTAGAGAAACTTTAGAAGCAGCAACAATAAAAACCGAATCCGGAAAATTTATCCGGAAAATTGATCCGGAAAATTTATATATTATAAAAAGATCTGAAATTTTTCAAATTTTACGTTATGCCCAAAAGGTCTTTTTTTAAACGTTTCGTGTGTTACCTTTATTTATTAAATATCATGTTCTTCGCACTTAAACAATAAAAATTTAATCCAACAGCAATATGGCAGAAAATTTTAAAATGAGCATATCTTTAAAATTTCCGATACATAGTCTCAGGCGCTGGAGATAATTTTTTTTCTTTTTTTCTTTCCATTACATCCAGGCCTGACTAAAGTAAATGAATCAAGTTAAATAAGTATTAAAGTAAACGGAAAAGACAACATTACTGCTTATTTTCTGTGCACTGGTTGTTCACATCGGAAAACAAGTTAGGATTAGGAAAGTGTCTTTGATTTAGATCTCGTGTAATTGTCGAACAGTATTTAT